GAGGCCAAAAATGAACGAAATGATGAACTTAATGCCGAGAATAAGCATATATGTAGGGTTTTTTGGCCCCTTTTTCCGCTACTCGTATTTTGTTTAGAAAATATTAAGATTAAAGTTAATTAACCAAGATTAGATTTTTCCAGTTTTATACAGTTTTTTTTCACAATATTTTGAAGTAATCACTTGTCACTCAAAATTTAAATATATTAATTATGCGTTGTATGCGTGACAATTGATAGTTAAGGGTAAGATTGAAGGAAAGAGAGGTCTCGGCAGGAAGAAACTATCTTGGTTGAGAAACATCAGAAACTGGACTCACCTAACTTTTGAAGAACTTATAAGGAAAGCCGAGAATCGTGAAGATTTTGCCAATGTGATCGCCAACCTCCACGAAAGAGACGGCACGTAAAGAAAAAGAATTATGCGTTCCAATAGTACCAACTTATTTCTTTGTAAAATAAAATAAACTATGTACTTTGAAATTAAAATGACAGACACATCTATCACTGTCAAGGATTTTGTTGTTGGACAGCCTTTTTATACCTAGTACAATATTTAAATATTAAAATCGCAATCGCAAGTTAAAGTCGCAGCGATTTAAAAATTGCAATCGCAATTTCAATTACGATTGGAGAATCGCAGTTTTTGCTCATCTCTATTCCAGACACCCACATCCCTATTTTCAAATAAATATTTTTCTCGAATTTTAATCAACAATAATTAAAGATCAATTTTTTACTTAATATAAAAATAAATTAGAACCTCGATTACAACCTTCTGGCCAACTGGCAGTAAGCGTCATTAAAGAATAAAGAAAAGTACAGGCAGAAAAGTAATGACATCTAGGACTTGACCTAGTATCGACTGTCATTCCCCAGCCGTTTTTTTTTCGAGCATATCGAAATGTATATTAAAATGGTTCGTAGTTTGAGGGATTATCTTCCCTCTGTTGTTAGAAATAACAATAACAAACAACCAAAAAGTGACGACATAAAGTATAGCAATAAACTGGGAGGCAATTAGGTGCTTATGGCAGCAGTTTGTAACCAGCGTAAACAAGTTTGTTCCGTCTAGACTAGCCTTGGAAGCAACACAGAGACGTTAAATTAAAGGAAAATAGCAACAAAGTTCCAATAGTTGCCTTATAAGAGTTTTTAATCAACTTTTTATAGACCACAACGTTTAGCCATTCACTATTCGCAGACATTATATAAACTAGGTCAAGTTAAGTCAAAAGTAAATATCCTAGTTAATATTACCGATCAGCGTACACCATAAATAGGTAAATAGAAGTATATGTATGTGTAGTTTACTATTAAAAAATATTGTTTATAATTAGACAATCATATTATGTAATAAGCCTTTCATGGTTTGGTTTGGTTGGGCCTTTCAATCGCTGCGACTGTAAGTATTAGGGTGTCCGTTATTTACCAAGCTGATCATTTCTCTCACGACGCCCTCTAAATTTTCAGTTTATTGTCTAAAAAACAATAACAGACCATTGTAAACCCTTAACATTCACAATAAACCTTGCCCCAAAGACGATTCATTTCCCATTTAAAGTAGGTACAGGGTGGGTCAAATTCGACGCTTTTAAATGGAAACACCCTTTTCTATAGGAGATAGACGAACACTAATAGCGGTGTTTGGAGCTCAATTTTTATCAAAAACATGATCGTGAAAACCGCACATCAATATCTGTTACCGTTTCGGAGTTATTTTTCGGAGGATTTGTTAAAAATGCACATTTTTCAAAAATGTGCATTTTTAACAAATCGCTGTGTTTTTTGCTATGGAAAATTTTGTATTTCTATGAAAACATTTCCAAAACACCTTATTACGTAGAATTTAATGGTTTAAGTATAATTTTTTTAAAACTAATAATTTAAGAGTTATCAACATAAAAATTGATTTTTTATTTGGGACAACCCCTATGTTTTTAATTAACGGAAAAGGATTTAAAATTTCCTTTCCAAAAATATAGCACACTTGATATTTTGTTACAATCCCCTTCAAAATACAGAATTTTTAAAAGTTCGCCACTTTTAACTAGTAGGCTTTGGACCCCTTATTGATGATATGCCCTTAATGGAACTCGAAAACATATTTTTCCAGCAAGACGACGCACCGCTTCTGAAAGCTGAAGTTATCAGCAAATTTTTGCAGCCAATTTCAAGAATAATTGAATAACTAAGCAAGATCCCAGCCGTTGGCCGTCGAGGCCGCCTTATTTAGTGCCCATGGATCTAATCCTATGGATATATTTGCGGAAGAATAAAGGTTCCTTATTCTTCCCTATAATCTAGACAAGAATTAGAAATACTTAGCAGTTATAAGAGGGTAGCTTTCACCCCCACTGAGTTAATGAATTCCGCGAGAAATGTTCAAAAACTGCCCCGTCTGTCCATAACAGAAGGCGGTCGATATGGTGAACACCTGTAGCAAAATCTCATGTTTTGGTTTGCTATTTATTTTTATTGTTATTAGATATAGTTTAAATGTGTTGATGTTGGTTAAATATATTTTAAATTGTTATAAAATTCTGCATTTCTCATAGCAAACACTATTTTTGTTTTAATTGATGGTCACAGCTAGATTTTTTTTTGCATTACAGTCGGTGCCGTTCAAAGCCTACTTATTTAAAGGGGCGAATTTTTATATACTCTATATCTCGAAGAGGAATCGAGCAAAATATCAAGTGTGTTATATTTTTAGAAAGGTAATTTTAAATTCTTTTCAATAAATTAAAAATATACAGGGTGTCCCATATAAAAAATCAAATTTTCTGTTGATAATTCTTAAATTATTAGCTTTAAAAAATTATACTTAAACCATTAAATTCTACGTAAAAAGGTGCATTGTTTTCATAAAAATACAAAATTTTCCATAGCAAAAAAGTTACATGGATTTGTTAAAAATGCATATTTTTGGAAAACACCCCGTAAAACCGAAACGGTAACAGATATCGATATGCGGTTTTCACCATCATGTTTTTGACAAAAATTGAGCTCCAGACACCGATATCGAATTCGTATCGTCGAATTTGCCACTTTTTGCAAATAATTTTTTTTCTCTCGATTTTGTTCTCTTACAGCCATGATAATTACATATTCTTATACAGAATTGCACGCTCTACAAAAAAGGTCTCTCACAATTTTTCGATGAACCTACTCCTTCAAAAATTATTTACGGTTAAAGTTAACCACTCGGTAAATTCCTAAATTCTTCAACTTTTTTGACAAAATTATGATTATGTTTAAAAAATTTAATCTATTACTATAAAAATATACAATTGTGATGATTTTAAGGTTGGGAATTAAGAAATCTTCAAGTCTAATGAAGTTTAAACCATTTATATATAAACTGATTTAAGTATAACTGATTTATTTTAATAAACATTGCTTATTAAAATAAATCAGCTATACTTAAATGGTAGGAATAACTTTTGAAGCAGTAGGTTTATCGAAAAATTGTAAGAGACCTTTTTTGTAGAGCGTTCAATTCTGTACAAGAATATATGATTGTCATGGCTGCGAGAGACCAAGATGGAGAGAAAAAAAATATTTGCAAAAAGTGGCAAATTCCCATGTAATTTAAATGAGAAATGAATCGTCTTTGAGGCAAGGTTTGTTGTGAATATTAAGGGTTTACAATGGTCTATTATTTTTTAGAAAATAAACTAAAAATTTAGAGGGCGTCATGAGAGACATGATCAAGTTGGTAAATAACGGACACTCTAGTAGGTATAGGTGATTAAACTAGAGCCAGTCAACATCTTGGTTACTCTCAAATTGAGCTGGCGATTGCCTTGTAGCAGAGCCATCATAAAACAAGAAGAAGAACAATTAACAATTATACATCCCTACGTAAACAAAGATAAATAATGAAGAGCTTCCCTTCTGCCTAAAAATTTTAGTGATTTTTTATTCCTGTGCATCTTCAGAAATTATTTTTATTACTATATTATAACAACCTATAATTGAACCACCTTAAAGTAACATGCATACTTAACAAAGTTATTATGAAATGCCTCGTGAAATGCTAATAGAGTTTACGATAATTATATACATAAAGCCTAATACAATTACCCATATTCTATAGCATAAAAAGCAATTTGTTTTCAATTTTTACACTGTCAGCTGTTGGCTCCCAACATGGACCATCTGCTTGCAATCCAAACCAAGTAGGTACGAATTAAGCAAGTTTTTTTTACTTTACTGATCACTAAATGTATCAACAATGGATTCCTCCATTTTGAAGTAAACTGGCATTTAATCAAAACCATCAAAGTTAACCAATATTTGTGTTTTACTAGTTCGAATTGGATAAAATAAAAGTTAATATTGGTTGTATATTGTATAATACGATATGTAATCAACTCAAGCTATTAATTATTTAATAAATAAAAATTGGACATCAAAAATCAATGAGTTTTAAGTTTAAAATTAATTTGTTACTAGATGTATTTAGTGCCAGCATAAAATATAAAAACCAGAGATTCTAAAGTTTAAAAGCTGACAATAACCACCTGCCGTGTAAATAGTAATAAACCTATTATTTTTCATTAGAATCATTATACATTGAAAATGTGAAGTTTAGAGGTAGTTGAAAAATGTATTTGCTTAATGTCAAAGATAAAAACATTGATCAGCTGATTAACGACATATAAATTAAATATTGTACTGATATCAAAAGGTTCAAACAATAGTTTTTATTAAAATATTTCGTTTTTTAAAAGATATATAACAGAAAAAGTTAATATAACCGACTTAAATCGAAAACATTACCTGACGTGCAGGCGGTCATGCAAAACAAAGGATTTCTGACAGAAACATGTATTTTTTCGCAAAAAAATCGTGAAATGCATTTTACGGAGTACCGCAAATTACATAATGCCGACGGTATTATTGTATACCATACATTTTTTAACCATTTGCCGTCGGAAGTATGGTTTGTGTCATTATTATGCAAATTTGGCCAGTAACCTCTGTAAAACTTACCTCCAGGTCTTCGTAGGAACGAAACTGCAATATGGAAAATCCGTCGACAATATCCTCTTCGCAGAGTGGTTCCTTGAGGAGATCTTTTTGCTTTTTTCTGCGATTAGGGGGTCGTGGAGGTTTTTTGGGGATGACATCTTCCGTCTCGCTTTCGTCGGGATTTGCCTTATTAGCATTTGTTTCTTTTAATTCTTGCTGCATACGCCGAGCGCGTTTTCGCCTTCTATTCCTTTGTTTTACCTCTATTTCCATGGCTTATTCGATAAAGGCACTCGCTCTGCGGCGAACCATCCTTGCCATGTCAAGAGGAGGCTTTCGTTTTGCTATGGCGGAATTTTAACCGGGATTACAGCTGTCTCCATTAGCCCTTTGGCACTCTGAACATTGCACCGAGTTTTTCACACCCTCCGAAACACCCAACATACACTAAAAGTTACGAAAAAAACGCGGAAAACCCGAAAATAAACAATATTTACAACAACGGCACCAACACAGTCAATACTGTAAAATGTCGCGTTACCGACGCGCCGCCTTGCGGGAGAAATGTTAGTTCGACGCTGTTGCCGGTGTTGCCACATGCTATATAGAAGCGGAAGGACAATTTTACCCTCTAAACGTATGGCGGTCTGCTAAAGGGAACAATAGACTAAAAATAGGGGATCGTGATTGAATATAACTACTCCCGACCCCCTGTCGAGGTAGAGATTTTATTGTAGGTAGAAATGAATGCACTATATAGTTTGTCCGTTAATCTATCCTGATTTAATAAAACGGTTTTCTTATGTAATAATTCTTGAAAAGTTAAAAAAAAGTTTTTCCTTAAAAAACTTTTTATTAAAATTATTTTGATTCAGTTAATACGTTTGCTGATACCCTACTTTAAATAATTAACAAACATTATCAACAATTAGCACTACATTTCATTTAGCTACCTACTTCTAGTTTGTAGAATCAAACTTTAGAATCTGATTTCAAATATTTAAAAAAAAATCTGAGAATCCCAGTAAAAGTATAGCACTATGGCAATCTTTCGGTAAATTACCAAACTCCATACAACAGAGAGATATAAAAGAAATCTTTAGTTTTCATTTTTAGTGCTATAGTCAAGAGATAGATGACACTAGCACAAAAATTAAATTTAATTTATGAATATTGTTATTTATATAAAAATAAATATATTCTAGGATCAAATATGGTATAAAATCATGCAATATTCTAAAAACTAATTAAATATTAGAAACATTTACCATTTGATTCTTCTATATAAATGGCAAGCGGGTTAGGCAACCCATTAAACCAGAGAACCTGTCAAACTGCATTTCCTTTATTTACTCTTTGGTTTGTCCTTTTAAAAATATTTGTATTTGTAAACAATTTATTTTGAAACTGCACATCATATTTTTATTAATTTTAATTACTACGAAAATTAGTTTTGGTTGGTTTGGATTCAAACTTATTAAATAATGTCTGAAAAAGCTAGTGGCCAAACAAATGGATTATCTTTATACGCGTATAATAAACTGCTTATATTTATGTGTTTATTAGGTTTGGGGCTATCCTTGTATGCTTACACAGTTGAACTGAGATTGGAACAAAATAAAAATTACAAGCCATTGTGCGATATTGCAGAACACATGAGTTGTACAAAAGCTTTTGATTCAGAGTAAGTTTTTTTAGATTAATATTAATGTACCCGTTCATTTAATTACATTGTTTTACAGGTATGGCAAAGGATTTGGGTTCTTTGGAAAAAAGTCCTTATTTTACAAACCAAACAGTTTTTTTGGCATAGTTTTTTATAGTATGGTTGCAACTTTGAGTAAGTAAAGAAACACATTTATATGATCCAAGTTTGGAATATTTTCTTATATAGGTCTTTCCAATTCTCCAGTAGCAGTAAATGGTTCTCTTTTACTCATCATTTTATCTAACTTTGCATCATTATATTTTGCTTATATATTGTACTTTATATTGGCTGATTTGTGTGTGGTCTGCATAGGAACTTATATTGTTAATGTAGTTAATTTAATTCTTATTACAAAGAAGCACAAGAAAGTTAGGTTGCTAGAAAACCAAAAACTATCTGCTAGTCAGAAAAAATCAGAATAAAAGTATATTTAATTGATTCCTCACTTGTATATAAAAATGTGAAAACTGTTATATGAATATATTATGCTATTGTTAAATAAAATTCTTTTTATAGATATTTGTACTTGTATCAGTCAAAAGCAATCCAGTCAAAATTCATGATTTTAAAGTTGTAAGTAACTAGAAATTTAGGCAGTAAGTAAATGTATATTTAAACTTACTAATGGAAGTTTCTTCTGATTATATAAATATCAGTTTTAAAGAGAAATAAATACTAAAATTATAAATTTTATTCTTTGTATTTGTTAATATCGATAAAATATAAATACAGCCTGCACATCCTACTAAATATGTAATAATTACAACAAATGGATAATGTTCTAAATTTCCTATAGGAACAGATAACTCCAGTACATCAAAATGCTAAAAAAATCATATGTAACATTAGTTAATATATAAATAATTGAAAAAAGTACTTACTCCTTTATATGTGATATTTTGCCAAGGTATCACGGAATCAACATCTTGTCTTTTCTTTGGCGCTCTTATCTCTTGATAATTTCCACATACCTTATGTTCCACGCAATTTACCAAGAAATTTACTTTACTTAGTGGTACTTTTCCATATCTGTTTGGAAGTATTTTAATCGTAGAAATTCAAAATAAAGTTAGTTATTTATTCTTACCCTCCTAAATGACTTTTCTGATACCTTAAATGAATGGGTAGAGTTTCTATATGTTTGCTATTAAGAATAAACTTATTTAAATATATGAACACTCTGTGTGTAGTGGACTGATGAGCAACAGTTTCAATGTTTACTTTTCCATCAATAAACACTTCCAACTAGAAAAGTATGATATAAATAAAAAGTTTAAAGTATTGTTAAAAGTGTACCTTTCCAATCCTATGGAAATCATTCATTTGATCTGGATCTACATACATCTCTACCGGAATATCCAACATTAAAGCTACTTTGCAAGATGCTTCTGTCCATAGTTTTTCATCAGGGATATGCGAGTCAATCAGCCAAACCATGTTCCTAAATCATTTAAATATAAGAAATTGTAGATATAAAGTATAATTTCCCTATCTAATTAGTAATTTAATATTCCCGTCTTGTTTAATCAACATGATTTTAAATAACTTGCAATTTACCTATGAAATCCTTGCTTTTCAATATTTTGGATTATGTTTATATCCAAATTAATACACTTCTCTCCTAATATGAATGAAAAATTGATTAATAACAAAAGGAACTTAAAAATGTCCAACATTATCTATCATTTTCATTTACTCTATCAAATAAAACCGTGCATATTTAAATAATTATTAAATTTTGTAAATAATTTTATTGCATTTAACTTAACCTAATATTTTGTATTTTGACAAAAGTTTGATTACAAACGATGTATAGGCAACTTAAAATACACATTTAGGAGAAATTGCTGTAATAATCCGGGTATTTTCCTTCCAATCTAGAATAATTGAGTAATTAGTTAATTGAATCGTTTTAAGACGTCCAGTAACTTATTTTCATATCAAAAATAAACATATTATTGTTTATCAATCATAAATGGATAAATTATATTTTGAAAGGATGCCTATAAAAGGCACAGCTCGTATTGAAGCCAATTTAAGTATAATAGTGGCTTTTGTAAAAGCTTTGCTGTTAAATTGTTAATAATTATTAGATAGTAATTAAATTTTACGTTTTTTTTTGGTTAATCTTGTGTATTCCGGGAATTATAAACTATATAAGTACGTGAAAATGCCGCCAAATTCCGAAACAATACCTCCGTCAAGTTTGGGGATGAAACCTCCACCACGGCGGCAGAAACTCCAAACTGTTGATATGTGGCTGGAAGATAAAAGAGAAACAGACGGGGCAGAAGGTCTATGGAGGGTAGGAGATAGTCTTTATGACTTAAATGAGTTTATTCGAAAACACCCGGGAGGACCAGAATGGCTAGAATTAAGCAAGGTAGAAAAACGCAATATTTAATTTTATTTTTTGAAAAGTTTTAGTACATTATTTGGAGATGAAATCTCCCTTATACTACCGAGGTTTAATTTGTATAGCTGAATGCCAAAAATATACTATACGATAAAAAAAACGCGTCAGGGTTGGCTTGGAAATGACGATCGCGCCGGTCGCTGTCATTTTTTACATAGAATTTATATAGGGAAGGGAATGTCATCATTAATTATTAATTTTATGTTGTTAAATGCCTAAAAAATAAACATCTACCGAATGATAATTTTTACAATTGTCAAAAGTGCTAAAATGTGATAAAGAAAGCAAAATTCTATTATTTTTTTATTGATTTCCTACTTGCGAAGGTATATAAATATACAGGATGACGCACCTCATTCGCCTCGGTTAATTATACGAAAACGGAAAGATGTAGAAATAAAATATTTCATGGGTATATGTGGGGAGGTAATGTGCACAATTTAAAATTATTTTGAAATGTACAGGGTGTTTCAGGACTAAGATCCATACCAAAGTTATATTTTTTCTTATGGAACACCCTGTATTTTATTTCATTTTTGGATTCTTGGGCCTAAAAAAAGGTATTTATTATAAGGGTTAAATATGTTGAAAATCTTTGGTTTTTGAGATATTTAAAGATATTTAAATTTGCATCCTACAATAGAATAGATTATTAACACCCTGTACATTACTTTTCAGAATTAATTCTTGTGCTGAGTTTAAAGGTAGAGAAATAAACTTTACACAAAAATGTTATTTCTTCCTTAAATATATACAGGGGTATCAAAAATTGCTGGTCTATTTTAAATATTTATTTTACATAAAAACTTCGTTATTTCCAATACAACACTATGTATTTTTTTAAATAAGTCGAAACAGATTTAAATGCTCTTTCAAACTATATTACGGTTTCCTATACCTATCTGGCTCAGATTTTGAATAAAAAGCAATTTTTCAATAAAACTGTAATCAAGACGGCTAGTGTTGTCATGGCAAGTTTTTAGTGACAGTTAGTAGCTATTTTCAAAATCGAAATTAGTTTATGAACTTATTTAAATTTATAGCAGTTTACTTTTATTTAATTTACCTACAATAGTTTAATAAATAATATTTATTAAATATGTGTTTATTATTCTATCTAGAAAAACGAAGTAGTTCTTTGAATTATTTTACGATGACTTATAGATATATGGATTTTCTATAAAAGAGCCAATTACGGCAAATTCATTTTCTTCACTTCCAACGACAGGTTTCTGCCTAATAGGTTTTTTATAAACCACACTACCAGCTCTGCGAAATAGGACACGAAGTTTTTCAAAGAAACATAGCTTATCAGGAAGATTCCTATTTGGATATTTTTGAGCATAAGCTCTTGAGGCCAAGAAACAATTTTCCTCACAAAATAATATCACTAGTAACATATCTATTCGTTCCGCCAGCAGATACTGCTTTATTTTTCTTGATAAAGTAATGAATACTTACTTATTAAACTCTTATAGGTAAATTTAAGTAAACTATTATGAATATATCTTTGAGCATAAATCCTTCAGGCCAACAAGCAATTGTCCTCACAAAATAAAATCACTAGTAACATATGTATTCCTTCCGCCAGCAGATACTGCTTCATTTTTCTTGATAAAATAATAAATACTTACTTATTAATACTATTGTAGGTAAATTAAATAAAAATAACCTGTTATAAATTTAAATAATGTCCATAAACTAATGTCGACTTTAAAAATAGTTACTAACTGTCACTAGAAAATTGTCATGGCGACACCAGCCATCTTGATTACAATTTTATTTAAAAATCGTTTGTCATTCAAAATCTGAGCTAGATAGGAAACCCTAATATAGTTTGAAAGAGCATTTGAATCTGTCCAGTTGGCTTGGAAACGAACATCGATGACATTCCCCATATAATTTTACATATGTAAAATGACCTATCTTCATTTCATAGTCATCGCTGACCTAGCCGTTTCTTTTTTAGATTATATTGTAGAAAATTGTTTGATTGCCTCTAAATCTATTTATAGGACATAGTATACTCGTTTTAACACATATAGTTATAAACATACTGTTGAGATAACCTTTGCAAATATAAATAATACAAATACGTTTATGTTAACTGGGATACATTGATATGAATATATTGTATGTAAATATTGCGTATGAAAATATTTACTTTTACATTTTGCTAAAAAAAGTCTAGATTTTCTAGATTTTTTTGTGATGCTTTTTCTTTCCTATTTTAACTTCGTGTTTATCGATTGATTTTAACTATGGAGGTCTTTAAGTCCTCATCCGTAATTTTAATTTTATGGTCATTTTATTTATGATACGATGACAGATAAAGCAGTCAAAGACAGGTATAGGTATCTATCTAATTTACCACATTAAATAACACATAAAATGCTACAAGCCACAATAACTATTAACTCTCAAGTATGATATTAAACCAAAGGTCTTGCACCCTGTAGGTAAATAAAGGGTATATTTAATTTGGGTAAATACAAATGAAGGATCAGGGGAAAAAGCAGGTAAGTCTTCAGGTCTAATTTCTCTCCAAACCGTGAAAAACACGATTTAATGTTCAAAACGTTACAAAAATAGAGTACAGATAACTTGGTAATATATTTAATTGGTATACCCTTAAACATTTTTTAAAGGGATTTCTTTTTGTAAACAAATATGCTAGTAATATTACCGTTTTTAGCACCTGAAGATTTTGTACATTTTTTGCTTTAAAAAAATCTAAAATGTCAATATTCCACGGGTATATTGATAAAGGAGGTCTAAATTATAAGAACATGTATTTTCTAGGTAAAAAATGGTATAATACAATTTGATAGACAATTAAATTCTGCATCTGATTCTCGAGAGTACATGTCCCATTTAAATTAAACAAGCTATTGCCGTTTCAAACTAGTAATTATCTAAAATACATTTTTAGACACTCTTTGTAAAGGTGCGTTCACACCGGCTGCGCCGCACAGTACATTTTTTTAACATGTACTTTTGAAGTGTATTTTTTTAGCGTCACAAAAGTATATGTTAAAAAAATGATTTGCGCAGAGCGGCGCAGCCGGTGTAAACGCACCTTAAGGTAGTATTATTTTTATTATAGCAACACAAAATTTAGTAAATAAAAAAACTTCAGTACAATATTTAATTTTAAAAACTTAAATACGACTAGAGAAATGAAGTATTAAAACTGTTACTGTATTTTCACAAAAAAAATAATTTTTGTCATACGCTCCCAAAAACAGCTATTTTACGGACTCATTTCAGTCCGTAAAATGTTTCTTTTTCGGCCTAGGCCGTAAAGGTCGTCATGGCAACCTTTATGGACTAAAATGTCTAAATTCGTTATTTGGTTGTTTTATTTTGTCATTCGAAATTTGTCACAAAATCACATAAAATTATACATATATTTATAATTAAATTATTAAATACTAACAATATCAAAAGCTAAGTTATTTGTTTAAAGTGGCAATACCTAGGTACCTATTTAAAAGAGGCTTTTAAATTAAAATATTCTTAAATTACAGTCACAAACAAGACATAATCATGTGGTACATTTTTTGGCCTAAGACAAGCATATTTTCTATACAACTCAACTGGATTGACAACGTTCCTTCGTTCACCACCGGAAACACTCTTTTGATATTAGTTTTTGTATCCGCAAGGGTAACTAAAGGCAGCTGTTGTCTTTTTCTCTATGATGTCTTGCACTCGTAGAGAGTACAATTCTTCTCTTCTACATGCTCCACAAAGGCCAATGACAAGAGCTACCTAAAAATCAAATACAATGGAATAAGAAACCATCTATATATTTTAAAAATCATTATCGCAAACTTACCTTAGTAAGTAAATAAGTTTCATCACTAGCCGTGGCCAAAAAATCACCGATCTCTTTTTATGGACAAAACCTTAGACTTTTAGGCTCGTAACCAACCGAATTCCTCTTCAAAAAGCAATAAGTTTTGGAAATTTGTCAATATAAATATCTTCTTTAACACTTAACACTGCTCTCAGCATGGAATATTTCGACCAAATTGACGATGGTTTGAATGTTTGTGACTGTAATTTAAGAATATTTTGAATTTAAAAGCCTCTTTTTAAATAGGTACCTAGGTACTTACTTTTTCGTGGAAATAATTTAGCAATACATCTTCATTTACAAATGAATACGCCATTTTTGTCTTTCCATTCATTAAAAACATCATATTCTTTCTGGTAAATGGCACGAGACTTCACAGGAAGTAAAATCCAACACGATTTCTTTGGCCTTATTAGCAATATGTTCGGGATTTTGGAACATTTTAAAATTGTTGATGAATTTGTGTGATTTTGTGACAAATTTCGAATGACATGTCAAAATGCGATGAAATAAACAAACTCGTTACTAAGATATGAATTTATAAGCCAACTTTTTCAAACATTATAATTTCAAATATGGAAAATTTGCAAATATGCGTTCTAAAAAACTGTAAAAAGCGTATGACAAAAAATAGTGTATGTAACACGTACCTAAATTATGTTTTTTAGGACTCATCTACTATTTCGGACTCGGCTAACGCCTCGTCCGCAAACAGTAATGATTCGTCCTAAAAAACATCATTTTAGGTACTAGTTACATAAATAGCTATTAGACTACTCTGAGATCGTAACAGAATTTATTGAAACATTTTATTCAAATATTGTATTCAGAAGAGAAGTAATAAGTCTAAAACACTGTCCTGCGGCACTAAATATACAAACAAGGATGATGAACTTTCTAGTAGTAGGTAATTCATATTTTTGTTATTTTTAAATTTTTAATTTATTGTTAAAATGGCAGTAAAAACGGATAACCGTTGTTCAAAATGACAATATTTTTGTTTTATTTTATTCTTTTTTTCCATAGCAACTGTTAAAATTAAAAGACCTTATATCTATCAAAAATAGTAGATAAAATAGTACTGTAACCGCAAGGGTAGATTAAATGATACTTTAACACCGAGGATAGGTTAAAAACTTTATTTCTTCTCGCACGTTTTTTAATTGCTTCCATTTTTGAAAATTTTTGTATTCCTTTTCATAAGTTTGTGTTTTTTCTTCTTTCGTAAGTAGTTTGGATATGGCGTTTGTCGCCTCAGCCTGAATATCTGTTGTTACTTATTTCATTTTGAGCCATTTCTGGCTCCAATTCAATCAGCAATCGACACGAAAGAGAATTAAAAAATATTGACTCAAAACTGACAACTAAAGAGACAGCTTTATTTGTTTGTCAAGTTACATAGAAACCAACGCCAACCCAGCACAATATTTTTTCTACTCGTAATAAATTCCTTGAAATAATAATTTCTGAATTTTTTTGAAAACGTAACTCGCTATGGAAATAGATATTGTTTTTTACGCGACGATAAAATTGCATTATCGTCTCCCGAAATTAATTAAATACCATTTTATCGTCTTGTATAAAAAATAACTATGAAAACATTTTGTTTCAGGGGCTGGACATTACAGAAGCCTTTGAAGTCCATCATATCTCAAAGGATCCGAGAGATATACTAGAAAAATACTTCGTTCGAAAAGCAAAAGTTAAGCGGAATGCCCCGTTTACATTCAAAGATGACGGATTCTACAGGACTCTAAAAAAAGAAATAGCAAAAGTGCTGCCAACTTTACCCAAACAATCGGCAAGGACGTCCAACTTCCTAATCGACTCATTTTTGGTAGCCCTGTTTTTTCTTTCAATTTTCGCCGTCAAATACTGGAACTTCCTGTTTGCGGTTCTGGCAGGAAACTTTCTGGCATTTCTAACCATAGCCGCCCATAACTATTTCCATAGGAAGGACAATTTTAGGATGTACTATTTTAACTTTTCGCTAATGCAAGTTAGGTAATTATGATTTATGATTTAAGTTTATTCAAAAAAAGAGATAATTTATTAGAACAGCTATCCAAAACCATCAAAACTTCAACAACCCATCAAAATCAAAATTAGGCCAATTAAAATAATAGAATGAAATAGTTATTTGTGTAACTAGTGCAAAAATAAGCATATATTATGACAATTTTGCTTAAAAAAATTGTATTTTAAAAACAATCTAGAGTGTCAGGACTGTGTTAAAAACATTAATTTTTAATCAAGGAGCCTTGGAAAAATAGTTTTTTTTAAATTTTTTTCAATGTTTTTTGTGTCCGTTGTCCGTTATAAGATCCTTAAATCGTAATTTTAATAATTTCTTAGTTTTTTCAAATGGTTTCAAAAGCATTTTTTGACGAATGATTTAGTACCCCACACACTTGGTATTATCACCCAAATTGTCGTTATGAAACCAGATGTTACAATTTCAAATAAACCATATTCCAAAAAGTCAAAAGTAGACATATGATATGCCATTCTCTTCCGAGTGCCATTTTCTGTCGAATAAGGTAAAAAAATACGGAAGGTGTCATTTAAAAATCAAAAGTTGTAGTAATTTCCGGTGAAAGAGGAAGTGACCGAAAACAATCGAATACATCAATCATTCCTGATTTATGTCTAACGTACCAAATCTCGTTTTTTATCAACAAATTAAAAAAGTTATGGGGTTGAGCCACTTTTAAGAAATACCCGGTATACACATAATTTGAAAAAAACGTTTATTATAAAAAAGAAATCAATTAAAATATATAAATAAAGAATCAATTATTATTATCTTATAATTATATTATATTTGATATATTGCATTTGTATTTTTTATATAAAAAAAATCTGAAACAACAAAATTAATACATGGTATAATTAATATCAATTAAACTTTCATTCCTATAACAGCTAAGAAATAAAACAGATAATAATTTTTTTTTAAACCTCCAGATTTCTTCAAGGAAAAAATATAATTCAATATTAAGAATATTATATGATAATCTCATTAAAACTGTACAGGGTGTCACTTTAGAGGGATACAAAGATACGGTTTTCACATCACTGTGTAAAGATGCTACATACAGATTTGTCCTAACCCCACTGATTTCTGAAATACAGAGCGAATTTTTTAACGAAAATATTATCAATTCCTGTTTTTATCGTACTTATCTATTCACACCCTGTACGTTCTTAGTTCTTGTTTTTTTATACTTGTTTGTTTACACCCTGTAGTCTAATGGTTCGTAGTCTAAAATTTATCCAACGAACCAGGTAAAATTTCGACAGACGAGAAATGAAATGACATAAAATACAATTTGCCTGTGTATTTAATTGACAGACACTTGATCACAGATGTCACTGTCAGAGATCTTCCCATTGGACAGACTATGGGAAATTAAAACAACTTTCGTTGTACGTCATCAATGACACCATGCGTCGCCGTCGTCTTATGGAGTTTGCTGGTGGTCGTATTATGATGTGCAACTAAAGTTATTTTAATTTCCCCATACCTATTTTTCAATTAAAACTTTATTAAATTAAATTAAAGGAAGGTGCCCGGTGGCGTAGAGGTACAGGCTCTCGTCTACCAATCTCAAGGTAGTGGGTTCGAATCCCACACCCGGCATTTCATCAGCCGACTATTTTTATTAAAATAAAAATAGTTCGGGTACCTAGGTCGACTCAGCCTTAAATGAGTACTTGGGATTCACAATCCTGAGGTAATAATAGGCGGTTGAAGCGTAGTGCTAGCCACATTACCTTCCTTGTATACCGAAAGGCTCTAATATGGCAAGCTGTACTTTGCTACTCCCAAGGCGTCAAACGGTATATACGGGAGCTATTATTATTATAAATTAAATTAAATTTTAGACATTGTTTATTTTGATATCATAGTTTTGCGTTAGATTATAACTAATAACAATAATTTCTGCGTTTTTAAGGGAATGGAGAATCAGTCACGTTTTAAGTCATCATCTCCACACCAATACCATAGACGATTATGAAATATCTTCCTGGCAACCCCTTTTGCAGTATCTACCCGTAGAAAATAAACCATTATATGGATATGGACAATGGTTAATAGCACCATTAATATGGATATCTGGTTTTCATAGAGCTCTCCTTACAAGGTAAAATATTACTCGGTATCTAATGAAATTTAATTTTTTTCTTGAGGAGTAGATAAAAAATACAGTCAAAGTTTACAATTACCTAGTTATTATAAAATTAATCTTCTTAAGAGAATTGATTTTTTTCTAGGTTATTAGAGTATATTCATGGAAGAAAAGGCATCATGAACTCCAAAGATTTGATTCCATTTATTTTACCGTTGGCAATGTATGCTTTTGGGGGCCAATCGTTGTTTTGGACTTTTGTCATGTGGAACATAATCATTTTTGCTGGAAGTACGCATTTCTTTTTTGTTGGACTTCACGCCGCACATCACCATCCTGAAATTTTCCATGATGGAGACCAACCAAGGTTAGTATGGATATTTAAAAATAGTACAAAGAAAAAATATTTTTTTATCTCTTCATATTTTTATACATAGAACAATTAAGAACTACTACACACCACATACGACACAGAGTATTGTAGCTAAACGATTAAATTTTTACAAATTGTAAGTTTTGGGTTCGTTGAAGGACTATTAGAGCTACAATTTAAAAATAATCTTTCAAGATACAATGAGTATCCCAAATAAACAACAAAAGAGTGTCCCAAATAAATAAAAAATATTAGAGTTGTATTTTTTTAAATGGAAACACACTGTATATTGTTCTATTTTTAGATTCTACGATTGAAATAAAGGTAAATTTGATTAAGATTTATCACACTTAAACCTTAGCGTTTTTGAAATATTTTCAATTTTGTGAAATTGCAGTAAAAAATTTAAGGGTTCATTTCTCCAAGGGTATCAAAGTTTTCAATATTAAATATTTATTGAAAATTATTTATTGATCAGATATTGTGTTGCAATAATAAAAATTATACTACCTTATACAGAGTGTCCAAAAATGTATATTAAATAATTACTAGCTTTAAACGGCAATAACTTGTTTAAATTAAATGGAACACCCTGTATATGTTACGTGAATCAGATGCACAATTTAATTATATATCAGATTGTATTATACCATTTTTACCCATCTCTACAAGTTTTCGTTGAAAATGCATTTTCTTATAATTTAGACTTTATTTACCACTATGTCCATGGAATATTTAGCTACAATACTCAATACTCCGTGTCGTATGTGGTGAACACACAACCCTGTATATATCTATAACCCAGATAGAACAGTTAAGAATTATTGAAATGAATTATCATTAGTAATCCGATTAGAGCTGTACGTACAATATATTCATAACAATCGTTCATCAGTGTTCATCATCCAGGCGTTTATCATCATTTTTCCCAAATACAATTGATCTAGTAATATGATATATGTAATATGACATTACTGACTTTGTATCGTCGCTGATGAACAAATTTGTATAAAATGAGATTGACATATATATTGTAGCGATAAACTAGCCCTCTATAAATAAAGAACGTTTAAATGAAAATAAAAAAAAACACCTACTATTCACATCATACCTTCTAATTTTTTTTCTCATTTATTCATTTACACCTAGTATGAATGTAATAGAAACTCAGATAATAATGTGATTAATTATTTCAGATCTGCAGAAGACTATGACTGGGGATTCAGTCAACTGGACGCTATAATGGACAGAAAAGAAATTACTGGCTCTCATTTCCTGGTTCTTACCAACTTCGGTGATCACGCCTTACACCATATGTTCCCTACATTGGACCACGGCACCTTAGAATTGCTTTACCCAGTTTTCCACAGAGTGATGAAAGAATTCGACACAAATTTGAGGATGGTATCCCAATTGGATACTATATACGGAGGTTTCCAACAATTAGTAAAAGTAAAACCCAGCGACAGTGTACCGGATTTGAAAAAATATCCTTTTAAATTTTAAGAGAAATAAGACTGTTAGGTTATACATGTATAGAAATAAAAAGTATACATTCCTAGGTGTTTCTATTTATTCTTCAAACCTACCAAATTTTCAGGAAAACATTAACATAATGTCCAAAGAAATATTTACCTTCAAAACGATAATTTTAAATCAAATTTTAATGTCTCAGTTAAAAGGTGACACAGTACTACAGCACTGTCAAGCATGGGGTGGTCATGATGTCGATTCGATCTCTCATGCATGAATACATCGTATATGTACAAATTAATTAGTAAGTCAAAAAATATTATAGCCAAGATTACATGACAATAAAGATAAATATTTAAATGTATAACTACAAAACTTTATCTCAAAGTACTTCTGTTTATATTTAGAAAAGAAGATGTACTCAAAGCTGTATTGATATCAATTTATTAGAAACAAACAATTCTTGGGATAATGTATGGATTTCAGAAACAAGCAAATAACTTTGTTTATGTATTATGAAATATGACTGCAATAATTGTTCTCATAATAATAATTTCAATTTCAAATTCATATTATCGTTGATAATTTTAAAACTAAATAATAAATATTAATATAGGAAAATAACGAAAATAAATAATTATTTTTTTATATAACTTAAAATATTCCAACAATAAATTATTAATAATACAATGATTAAACATATAACGGGTGCATTCCAAAAGTGGCTCACTTCTATAACTTTTTTTATTTTTTCAGATAAAAAAAAGAGATTTGGTATTTAGTATATGACCGGGTTGATAGGGTTGACTATATGACTGATGGCTATAGGATTGATTGACGTATTCAATTGTTTGTGGTCAATTCCTGTCGTTTCACCGGAAATGACTACAACTTATGATTTTTAAATGGCACCATCAGTATTTTTTTACTTTATTCGATAGAAAATAACACTCTGAATAGAATGACATAGCAATATGTGAACTTTTGACATTTTCGCTTTAAAAAAAATCGTATTTTAAATTTCAATCTAGAGTGCCATGGCATTTTTTTGTGTTTTGTCCTGACCAGTTAAAAGATGCCCAAATCGTGTTTTTAATCTTATCTCAATTTTGTCAAATGGAACTAGGGTGGCCCATTAGCATATTTGGCAAAAAGCATTTTTTTACGAATAATTCGGTTCAGTTTGTATTTCCAGTCAAATTGTCGTTATGAACCGCATGTTACAATTTTAAATTAACCATATTAGAAAATGTCAAAAGTATGACATATAATATATCATTTTATTCAGAGTGTCGATTTCTATCGAATAAAGGAAAAAAACCGAGGGTGCCATTTAAGAATCAAAAGTTGTAGTCATTTACGGTGAAAGAGGAAGTGATCAAAAACAATTGAATACGTCAATCAATCCTAATTTATGTTATACAATACCTACTAATATACCAAATCTCGTTTTTTTATCTGACAAAAAAAAAGTTATAGGGGTGAGCCACTTTTGAGACGCACTCGATATATATGAGAACGGAACTACAGGTTGTGTTAGGCTTCATGAAGATACTATCAACTTCCACATAGAGAAATATGTTCGCCAAGGCGACACTTTCTCTCCAAAATTATTCAATAATTTGCTCCAACACATGTGCAAACAGATAGAATAAAATAAATTAGGTATAAATATAAATGGCGAAAACTTGAACTACCTGCGATTTGGTGATGACATTGTCCTAATATCCGAATGCGTAAATGTTAAAAAAATTGAATGCAACCTCTGAACAAATGGAGCTAAATATCAACACCTAAAAAACCCAAGTGATGACAAATCTAGCAATTGGCGGTGAAATATATATAAACCAATACATATCATATCGTAAGAAGAAACAACTGCTTACAAGTACTTGGGACATGAAATTCGTATAAGCCGCGATAACCAAACTTGTGAACTCAACAGACGAATAGGACTGACTTGCGTCCCCTATGAACGATTGAAATACATTTTCAAAGGGACACTTCCAATATATTTGAAGAGAAAGGTATTCAAGTTGGGGTTATCTCTGAGAGACAAAGTACTGAATATCGAAGTATGGGGGAGACAGAACAAAAGTCATGGATGCCATTGAGAAAATCACTACTTTGAAATGGAATTGGGCAGGGCACATTGCAAGGCTAAACGTTGAGCAATGGACGAAGAAAATAATAGAATGGAGACCAAGACACGATGCATTCAAGAGCAAAGGCAGTCCTCCAACCAGATGGCATGACGACTTAAGGCATATTCACAGTAACTGGATGCAAAGAGCTCAAGATAGGAAGTTATGGAAGCAAACGAGGGAAGCCTACGTCCAGCAGTGGGATTTAGTGGCTGGTTGATGAAAATGATGATGATTGATCTTAGCTTCAATCTACTGAGGTGTTATTTAATTAATAACTTAATGAGGAGATGATCTCCTCAATGAAGAATTCGTGTCATAATCTTTGGTACAACTGATATTGGATACTGGAGTTAGGAAACTAACCTCTGTAAAACTGTCTCAGAACCTAGCTTTAGTGAAAGCCGGCTCAGCTTTAGCTGAGACTGTATGATAAGTTATAACTCAATAAAGGGGAACACAATAGTGATACACGCGGTGACTAATCCCCTTTCATTCATTTCTACATTCTACATGCACAGACATATTTCCTTCTACGCATACGTATTACAGTTCTAGGACAGTTTAGAATTGGTAATAAGAAAATATTACATTTGGGGGGTTGGAACCTTTGGTGTTACAGCAGAATAATACACAGATGATTAAAACAGCAGATGATTAAAACTGTCAGTCTTAATTACACCCTAACATGCTAACATGGTTAGCGAAATAAAGTGTTTTGGTGTATTGTGGTGAATTAGTGTTTTATTTTGCAAAAGGAAAAGCTCGAAGTGGCTTAAGACTATTGAAAGCCGTCTATCAAAATAGTGCCTTTCTCGAAATTCCTACTGGAAAGACTATATTTTCTATTCTGTAACTTTCCTTAAAAAAGTAATCAACAGTGTAACTTTAAGAAGATAAAAAAGCTTGATTAATCAAATTTGCAAATAAAACTTTTTTGAGTTAAATACTACTCTAAAATACGAAAACTTAATATTTTTCTAGACAGATTTGAGGCTATATTGTCACTATCTGAACATTTGTAATAACAATAAAAGATTAATATAACCGAACAATAATTCTGAAGCTTAAATAAAGATAAAGTCATCGCTGGTAATTATTAGTTTGTGAATTTATGACACGGTTATTAGAAAAAGCAATAAGCGACGGCGGAGACAGGAACTTAGCTAGTGCAATGGTTTTCTATTATATGATACGCAATGGCTTTTATAAAGTGGAGAAAGTGCTTTTCCAGCCCGAATCAATTTTTAAAGTTGATCATTGTCATCGGCTGTATTTGCTTCTCTGTATACCAGGTAAGAATAATAATCAGTAGGTAGTAAGAATAATTTTAATAACTTAGGTCTACCTAATTATACATATTCACAGGGTTTCTATACGTCCGGATTTACCCGGATATGTCCGGATTTTTAAAATGTCCGAGGCGAAAATTATTTTCTCAGTTTCTTTTTTTTAAATTAATTATTTTTTTAATTAATTTCTCAGTTATTTTGTTGAATATTTTAGTCTCTACGATACTAGAGCTCTACTTAACAGACGCATGTTCGAAAGTACCAATTTCTATACTTTGACCATAGTAGAAATGCTTTGACGCTCAAATGTTTAGCTTTTGGTGCACTCTGAAAAGTGAATGTTTTTTTTTTGGTTTTTGTTTTGTTTAAATCGGGGCTATTTATAATTCCTTTTTTGCGACGGAACTCCGGATTTTGTCCGGAGTTCAGAGTTCATTTGTGCGGATTTCTAAGTTCACTTGTCCGGAATTTTCAAAAGCCCTTATGGAAACCCTACATATTCATGGTCAAATAATCTTCCAGAATAATACATATTTTAACCACATCACTGATGTGGTTAAAATCAAAACCAAACTTATTTCCGACTTTAGACTAATTAACAACATTGTAGAATGTTTAGAAGTGGGATTAATCCTCGCGACCCTATAGATGTATTGTGTGTTCTCCTTTCTTGAGTTATAACGAGTTACAACTCATCATACAGTTTCAGGGCTTTGGCAAAAGCCAGTATCTGAGATGGTTCCACAGAGGCCAGCTCTCCATCTCCGACATCAGACGTACCAAAATCTATGGTACGAACGGTTATAGTCTCGGCACACTCAGTGATGAGGTGTTTCCCCATTTTTCCCACAGAATCTGCATTCACCGTTGTTTATCAGCTTCAATCCACTGAGGTGTTCGTTGAGGAGACAGTGTCCTATTAGAAATCCCGTGACAATATCTTTTCTGGATTTTCAAGCTAATCTTTTCCAAAAATTCATCTCCGTGGCTTTTTAAGAAATGTACACAGCTGTAAGCAGTTCTTTTTTATGTTTTCTATCGTTATATTCTTATCCCATAATATTCAATATAGCATTGAAACTGCTTTTAGGCCTTGCATGTTTCTTTCCAGTATTGCCTCATCTAGTGTTCTGTCTTTGGATATTTTCATTTCGAGATATTTATAGTTTTTTTTATGATCGTTGGTGAGTGAAAAAATCTTGTTGTTGGGTAATGCCAGATTCCTACTGGCTAAAAAACCTTCCTCCAACTACCACTTTATACACTGGAATCCGCTCTCGCATTGCTTCAGTGCAAAGGATGCCTAGATTTACCTTATCATGCTCTTTGCCTCTCTTCTCTCTTTCTTTACAGTTTATGATACTTCGGATTATCCGATATATTAGCGTCCATTGTTCTTCCTCTTCAGCTAAGTATATCATAATTGTGGGTAAGTCGAAGTGGTTGCCGGCTTCCATAAGGAATTGTTCCTTAAAGTCATGCCATCGTTCGCACGCAAACAGTGTATGCTGAACATCATCAACCTAACCGCAGTAGGTGCATGATACACTATCAACCCTACAACGATCATACAAAACTTTCCTAAAACACCCCCAAGTAGCATTTTCACGACTTGCGACCACATGTTTACTACACACAACGTTGGATTAGTTACAAAAAATAGTTAGCTCCGTACCTTGGGTATTAAAATAAATGTAAACGTTGTTGTAACGTTGTGCCGACGTTGAACTAGTACTACAACAAAGTAAAAGCTTCTGCGACGTCGAATAAACGTTGTCTTGTAACCTTTTTTGCTTAAGTGATCTTTAGGTAATTCGGACAACGTAGTTACAATGTTGAGCAATAAAGAGTTTTCCGACGTCACTTTCAGGACCTATTCCAACGTTGTACAAACGTCGTCTGTTTTACCAATTCCAACGTTGTTTAGATTTCCTTATTCTTACGTTGGTAGGACCTTGGTAGGACGTCGAGCCACTACCTTTTTGCAACTGTATTGAACCATAACCAGAGCCATAACCTTAAATCTTAAATTGTCACTTCATTGTTCTGTTCAGTCAGACAATTCAGTGCTGTTTTTGTTTTTATAAAAAAAAACTTAATTAAAATGGGACGTAAGAAAGGCACATATAAAACTAAATTTAAACTTTCGACTAAATTTAAATATACATCGACATATTACCGATACTTTATCCACTCCCTCGTTTATTTAGAATATAGAGGGCGGCACAAGCTAGACTCTAGGATGACTAAATTAGGCAATCTTGCGACTAGTATACTACCTGTTAAGGCTGAACTGCGACTTTATTAGTCCAGGGTATGCGACTACTCGAACTACTCCATCTTATTCTCCAAAACAACAAAGTGAAAGCCGCCATGTTGTTGAATAAGAAAATGTTTCGTTCTAAAATAGCAATTCCTGCTTTTGAATACATTAACTTGAAATATTTGACCCTAAACAACACGGAAACTATTTTTTCGAGAATAGAATAAATTATTCTCATTTTCACTAAAAAAATTCAAGAAATTTTTAAAACTTCTTTAATTTTAAGGCCCATTAGTATTTTTCAAAGCAGAAACAATACATTTATCAATAAAGTTGTTTGCGTTTAAATTTTTTGCCTTGGGTAACGAGTTACAGAGTTGGTTAAAGTGTTTCAATAACTATGATCTTCAAACATCCACCACACTTAAATACTTTTGTTTTGTTTTCCTTTACTGCCATCTGGCATATGTCTCTAACTAAATAATAAAAATAATATTTACTATCATTATCCCAATTTAGGATAAAACGCGACTTAGACGCCATATTATTATAGTTTTGTATTTCTGGAAATTAGGATTTTAAACAACGTTGCAGTTTGTACTAAATTAGGCTGCTAGCCAACGTAGGTATCCAACGTCGCGCGCGCGTTTCGACCCAAAAATTATTCTCCAAACTAGAACAGACTAGGGTTGGCACGAGGATGTGCCGACGTTGCGCCCCGACGTTTGGTCGCGTGACACGACGTTGTCCCGACGTCCAAATGCTGCTTGGGCCATGGCCAGACAATGCTTGACTCATGAAGTAATCCACTTCTCCGTATGATCTGTAGTCCGTATGACCAATTGAATGTCGGGTATTAACTTGTATGTCCATTGTCCATCTGCCATATAATCTAGTATTCCATTTGTCTTGCCACTGTTGGAGAAGTTTGGTCCTCGCTAAATCCTTATCCATCCCATGGTATCTATCATATCGTTCCTGTATGAGCCGAGCGGTTCAATAAGTGCTATTTCTGATATAACCCCTATAGCCATGATACTAGCTCCTCCCACGTTTGGCATGAATGAGACTAACGTTGTAACGTTGATCAGTTTTCGGGTCATGTATTCCAAGTCGTTTTATTATTATTCCATGTATTCTAAATCACCTGCAAACGACAATGTGTACACTGTAGTATCAGTTCATCAGAAAATAAAGATACAGGTATTATTCTCGGACAAAACTCTATTGCATTAGTCAGTTGGAAGATAGAAACAAGATGTCGTTAATCGTTATATGGATACCAGGACATTTCAGCCTAGAGTCAACTTTATCTAAGACTCTAGACTCAACTGGAACTGACGTGGATCCTCTCGTTATGCTGACAGCAGATGGTGCAATACAAATATTTGCTTAATAAAAATTGCTTAAGGTTGATTCTCACTATACCTTCCGTTTCCATTCCATATCCGTTCCGTATTTTTTATTGTATTGACGCTATACGTAAGCTTCCGTTCTGTATCAGTTCCATACTTTTTATTGTACAATTTATATCATTACGAAAGTTTTATTTTAAAAATTTGTATCTTTTGAAAAAGGTAATAAATTTAATTAAGAGGTGAAAGAATGAATAAATATCAGCAAAATTTTAACAGAGCTAGCACAAATGTAAGAACTTGACAACGCTGTTTCCGATACGCTTCAGTCCGTCCGCCAAAATAATGTATGGAAGGAAAGGATATGAACGGAAGGGAAACGGAACGTATAGTGTGCATTGTCCTATTTATTTACATGATATAATATTTTATGTAAACAGAAGGGAAACTGAAGGGAGCTGATATGGAAGGTATAGTGAGAATCAACCTTTATACTGCTAATTTATAGTACTAATCAGTATTTGCCTGATATAATTCTCTATAGGTTCAGCAGACAGTATTGTTGCAAAAACAGTCTATTAACTAAAAAATTAACCAACTTTTGAATCGGATTCCTGTAATTTCGAATATTATTTCTTGACAAATAAACCTTCTATAATATACACCGGACCAATAAATTCATTCTATTACAGTTTGGTTCCCATAATTTGGACACTATATTTTTATTACTTGTAATAACGTCTTTTATATAATCGTCTAAATTTATGTTGCCAAGTTGTTGAAATTTGCCTACCGTGACAAATAATGAATTACACAAAACACTAGCCAACCCATTTTTATTTTATTTTTAACATTTTCAGGTGGTAAAATGCGTGGAAAAACTTATACAACCACCTATCTCCACGTACTACGGATTCCATTTGAACGATACCATAAGATATCCATCAGTGACAATTTGTCGAAGCCCATCATTTAATACAGCTTTGTTTCCGGTAACTATATTCTTCAGAATCAGTTATTTGTTGAAAAATAGTTTATAACAAAACTGAAAGCCGTTGGCAATAAAATACTTTAAAATGTCAATATAATTTATTAACTATTTGCTAAAACGGTATATGATCAAATGATAATGACGTTAGTGTGAGTTAATTATTATTAATGAATGTGAAGAAATATAAAATACTCATTGTCAGAACTGGTCACGATTTGATTTGTTATTAACAATATTTTTAATTTTTAGAAATTTGGATTACGAAGAATTAACGATTTAATGACCTACAATGCGTTTCGTCATTTTAATTTTGTTAACTACACTATCAAGGATTTCTTGGAAGAAACAACTTGGTCCTTCGATGAACTTATTAGTAGTTTTGCATATAATGGGTTAGGAAATCCATATAAAAGTAAGGAGAAAATAATGGTTAGCCAAAAATTAAATAGTAATTATTTTATAATTAATTCATAAATATTAAATGACTGAAACTTAAGTACAGTAATATGCAATCAAAAAAGTAAAATCTCAGTAAAAAACCAAATATGGAAAATATAAATATTGGAAATGTGTGCACATAGAGTTTTGGCTCAAAATATCTAGAAAATGTCGAAGATCTGCATAAGAAATACAAGTGTATTATGTTAATAATTGATTCTCAAAAGTTCTTCAACCAAATCTTAGTTCTTCAGGACTAATCAAAGTTCTTTAACCAAATAATTTAGAAAATGGTAAGGTATATCCGTTATGGTATGGGTATATATCAGTTATTCAGCTATGAGAGTACCGACACTCATAGCTGGCAACGGATAGACCTCACCAGTGGCGGATACAGAGGGGGGGCCCATGGGGCTCGGGCCCCCCTTAAAATCTGTAAGTTTGGTTAAATATTAGCCTTTTGGGTTAAAAATGACGCCCTTAAAGGCATATATTACATTATTTTTGATTTGGGCCCCCCTAAAATAAATTCCTGTATCCGCCCCTGGACCTCACCATTTTTTAAATTATTTCTATGATTGATTCTGATTATTGGATTTTGATATATTTATACCAGTGGCGGATACAGAGGGACCAACATACAGACCGCATAGGTCTCATGCCCATCCCCCCTAAAATCTATAAATGGGGTTAAATATTAGGCTTTTGGGTTAGGCGCCCTAAAAAGCATATTCTACATTACTTTTTATTTGGTCCCCCTCCCGCTAAAATAAATTTCTTTATCCGCCAATGATTTATACACAACATATTAATATAGAGGATGGTCTGAACTGTATTTCGGAAACATCGGCAGCATATTCTCCACATAAAAATAAGTAAAAAGTTCGTATAAATGTATTTCCTCAAATGCTTAGTTTCGGAGATACACGGTGTAGAATTTAATTTTTATTTCGATTTTTTCCAAATAATTTATGAAGTAACGTCAATATTTGGGTAAAAATTGGTGTTTGGGAGTTTTTTAACATGAGAAATTTGATTTTGATGTCAATATGACTCCTACTTGTAGAGGGCGCCACTTACATATTTTTTAACTGGTTTGAAGAGTCGTCCGTACTTTTCGTCCGTACCTGTATAAACCTACTGAGTAAAAAAATATACATTTCGGTCATTTTTTGCGTAAAAAATGTTTCTTGGTAAAAATCGCTACGAGCAACCGTTTTCAAAATATTTGAAATGGAAATAGTTAATACATGTCATTATTGACAAAAAAATACATGTTGACTAGATTAGTTATTTGATTGAAATCATAAATTTGAAATGTGTTTGTGCCAAAAGTTTAACAGAAACTGTTTTATCGTCATTTTTCGCAGAAAAATTTGTGATTAACTTAAAAAAATTAAAATTTCCCAAATTCATTATTTCAGTCAAATAACTATCTACTCAACGTGATTATTTTTTGTCAATAATGACATGTACTGACTATTTCCATTCTAAATATCTTGAGAACGGTTGCTCGTAGCGATTTTTTACGATAAAAAATCACGAAAATGTATATTTTTTTTCACTCAGTAGTTTTATACAGGTACAAGCGAAAATATATTACTCTTAAAAACAGTTAAAATACATGTAGGTGGCGCCCCGCCTACAAATAGGAGTCATTTAACATCAAAATCAAAGTTCTTATATCAAAAAACTCTCAGATACCAATTTCCATCCAAATATTGACATTACTTCAGAAATTATTTAAAAAAACTCAAAATAAAATGAAACTCGTACACTCTGTATCTCCCAAACTAAGCACTTTAGGACATACATTATACCCTTGTATATATATTTTTAAAGTAGATCAACCTAAGACGTTTATGGACTAAGGCTACTAGATGGCAGGACCGGTTTCCCTACAGAAATATTTTTTTTGTTACTCTGAATTTTGAAGCTACCAATAAAAACAGAGAAAATAAAAATCGATAATTTTCGGACTGTGCCAATTGGTTACTAATCGACCAGATACTTTTTGTCTATTAGATATGCTATAAAAGCTGGCAATTATACAATTTACATTGTTTAATTACAGATACTAGCGTTGTGGAATTTTATTCGATTACTAGGGGCCGTTGTTTTACGTTAACACCAAGGAGTACATCGGAAAGGTTCAGTATATCTGGTGGCTGGTGGTTCTATTTGAAACACAATTTTACCATTCGATCCCTAGACGGATATGGCATGTCCACAGCTGGGTTTCATATCCACCTACATGATGATAACGAAATTATGACTTGTAAGATTTGAATCCATGAGTAAATCAGTTTTTAAGAACATTGTACAATGACCGGAGGCATTTGTTGGCGAACGCCTTTGATGTACCGACTCGAAACGGATGGTCGAGCGAACGAACGAACGAACGGCCGCATGCGTTCGGTCCCCGTCTAAATATACCGCACTTTCATTCGTTCGTTCGTTCGTTCGTTCGGATAATGAATACGCACCTTAAGGCTTGGTTAAGGTTTGCAGAGCTTCAGCATTTGCCATAAAATGGCGAGCAATTTGTTACAAAACTATATAAATTATATATCACTGTAATCACAAAACTTCAATCTACTTCCGTATTGTAACGGAATTTTAAATTATTTTCGAGAAAATTTAGTCCATACGTAGAGAATATTTTGTTGATGTTTGACCATCAAAATCTTAAAGATAAAGAAGTTGTCTAAAATTGTGCTTCAATACAGATATAGTATAATCCTTTATCTTTAATTTCCTTCTTCATTTGTGCAAAAATACCTAGCCAGTTTTACATAAAACGTTAAATGCCGAACGCTTATTTTGCTACTTTTTCGGATTAGCGAAATGGACTCTTAAGTGCAATATGTATTATTAATATAATACAATGATATTATATTAATAATACCTTTGTAATAATGATGTCTAGACAAAGCACTTCTTATTTTTAGCAGAGACAGATCAAGAAAACAATTTCTTAGAGTATATTTACCTGGAAGCTGCCGAAGACATGAGATTAACTTTAAAAATACAAGAATTTAAAAAAGTCAGCACCACAGACTTACCTTGCATTGACAATGATTCGCGCTACAGTAAATCTCGAGTAAGACGACTTAATTTGTAGGTAATTGAATGTAAAATTCATTTAATTTTTAGTGTCAAGAGTTATGCGTTCATAGGCAAATAGCACAAAGTTTGAATTGTACTTTGCCTTGGTTGTGGATGATTCGAGAAAATCGAACAAGGTTTGAACAATGCTCGAATTCATCATCTGTTCATGCTTTACTAGCCAGCTTCGGAGAAAAGTAAGATATTTTTTATTGAATAATGAATATTAATTTTTTCTTTACAATAACAGAAGTATAAACTCTCACAAGGTTAATTTTGATATTTTTTATATTTTAAGTAAAACTAAAACCCTCTATACATCAAGTAGAGAATGTAGAATGAGTGAGAGGGGTTTAATCACTGCGACCTTAAAGATGTATTGTGCCCCCTTCCTTGAGTCATTACACACACAGTCTATAACCCATCATACCTCTGTTGTAGAGGGGACTCCTAGGGGGGTCTTTCCCATCCTCCTCTGACAACAGATGTTCTTCCTCCGAGGGTACACACCCTTCTACGGGTAGAGTTTGGGCCCTCCGTGCCCTTCAGAGTCGAGGAGCTTGCCTCCGGCTGAGGTACCCGTGAGGTGGAGGCTGGAGGATCTGTCTCCATTTTCTCCACCTCTTTAACTTGGTCTCTCCTTAGACCTGATACAGGTGTTGTCCCGTATCGATAATAGAGGATATGCCCCTCTTTCTCTATTGCCTCCTTGGATTTGAGGTCAATTCCTGTTGTGAGGACCTGACCATGACCTATCGAGTTGATGACTCGCCAACTCGATGTCCTTACATTGAAGTTTTGACCCTGGATAAGGCTCAGCAGGTAGATGGTGTCTTTCCCCTTGCTCCTCGGCGAAAAGAGCGTGATAGTCGCCCCTTTAAGGATGTTTTCTCCCTTCACTGCAACCAGTTCTGGCCCCATTTTTAAGCTTACGTGCGATTTCCACCAACCAATTCGCCGATTCTTGAGATACACAATCTATGAGGATCATGCCGAAGTCAGGCTGAGGATCATGCCATCTATGAAATCTATACATTCGAAGAAGTTTCTGAGGGCTTATGATCAAGAAAAATCATAGATCTTCCTGGGTCTGAGTAAGAACAATCTTCGGATTGTCACGGGGTTTTTAACAGGACACTGTCTCCTCAATGAACACCTCAGTAGATTGAAACTAAGAAGAAACGGCGAATGCAGATTCTGTGGGGAAGATGGGGAAACACCAGTACACCTTATCACTGAGTGCGCCGAGACGACAACCATTCGTGCCATGATTTTTGGTACAACTGATATTGGAGATGGAGAACTACCCTCTATAAAACCGTCCCAGATACTGGCTTTTGTCAAAGCCCTGGGACAGTATGATGAGTTATGATTCAAGAAAGGGGGACACAATGGATCTGTAAGGTCGAAGTGATTAACCCCCCTCCCACTCATTCTAAATTCTAAAAATTCTAAATTCTAAGTCTATACATCATTAACCCAACTCTTCAAGTTATATCTGAGGACATTGCAGTTTGTTACTTCTTCTTTTTTATAATAGATACATTTATCATTCCATACTAATAGGCCACTTGCCGTTCATTGCCAACATGTCTTCTTCGGAAGACCGGATAATAAAGTCCAAAAGTTTACATTGCCTACTCTTGCTTATTGGATTTTTAACTCTTTAAACCTGTTTGTTGTCTTCGACTCTTTTTATGTTTTCTCTCCAAAATGTTGGCCTCCGTAGTACTTACCTACTTATATCCGTTCACCGTTCTCATAATTTTTAGGGAACTATTTGTATATCTGTTTTTTTTTTGTTTAGTGCCCTTCTTCGTTCGACAGTTTTTTATGATTATTTATTTCTACGTCCAGTTTTGGACTCCAATTTTTATTGGTTTCCAATTTACAACTTATCGGTTCTTCGGTGTTGATGTGCATACATAGTTTTTTTTGCCGGTGTATTAAACGGATGAAATACGGCTTAAATGTTACCTTCAAAATCTGCTATGAGGAGTGCATTTTCAGAATTACAAACAGTATGAAATTATTCCACACAAAAGTCTACTCCAGAATTCCTTGACTATTAAAGTGGAGTCTGCACTTGCCTTGTCTATATTCAGTCACAATATGTATAATGTCAACTTTCAACTTGCAGTGGCTGTTATATATTGCAACGGGTTATATAGTCAAATATTGCAACCAATACGTGATATTATTTTTTTGCCACTGTTTAAAAGTTTTTTGATTCTAATACGATGCTTATTGCATGCTTTATTCAAGAACTATCTATCCATTCTTTAAACATAATTACTCTTAAAAACTACTTTATCGTGAAAAAGCATCTTTACTCAATAGTTTTTTTCTGAAGAAGGTAGTAGGCAATGATCGAGGTTAGGGTTAATAACAATCTTAGCATTAAAAGCACGCAACACACCATGAAATTGTTTTTGTAATGTATCTGTTATTGAAAACTCTTATTATTGTTTGTTGGCAGTTTCTACAGTAGATATGGTTTTAAGGCCAGAAGTTGTATTGAGCATTGTTGCTTTAATTATGGTAGGTGTCAACTTCTGTACTTAAAACCATCTCTGCTATAGTAATTGCCAACAAACAATAATAATAAGATTTTTCAATGATGTGACATAACAAAAACACTACTTTCCTAGGTGTATTGATGAGGACGAAAAACCAAGGCATGCTTTTAATGCTAAAATTGCTGTAAATCTGCACTGGCTTCTTCAAAAGCGAATATCTTCAATAAAAATAAAATTATAGAGATGAATCAAAAAACAAACTGTCGAAAAAAGATGCAACTTGATGATAAAGTAGTTTTTAAACTCTTTACTTTCAGTCAAACCACAGGAACTTTCGCACTTTCGACGAATTAACATTTTTTTAAAGTCAAATGGTTTAGCTACGTATTGCATTTAAAAATTCATCAAAATTGGCACACTACAACAAAATGTATGGAAAGTTTTAAGGTGTCCGTGCTTCGTGCCGGTTAGTACAGAGTAGACACAAAAATTAAATGTTAAAGAATTTTCTTATTTGGTAATTATTCCTAGCAAAATAAAAACACTAAATCACCACAATACACCAAAACATTTTTTCTTTTACACTGGACGCGCGTTTCGCTAACCATCTTAGCATCATCAGTAGATGATTATAAACTAAAGTACAATCTACAAGTTGAGCGTTAATATACTCGCTCAGTGGGCACCGAGTGGGCGTGGCAAAATCTAGCCAACCGAGTCAGAGCCCACTGAGCGTAACAGTTAGATTTCTGCCACTAGAGTTGGACCGTTGTCTCTGTTCATACTATCTTTACATTTATTAATTCTGATGCTTTCATATGCATCTAATTGCCTGTAATTTGAGACTTGTTTAATTAATTTTAAATTATTAAGATCTATACAATGTTCTTTATCAACAATATGTTCGGCAACGCAAGATTTATCCGGTCTACCATATCTTATCTGAGCTAAATGTTCTTTAAATCTAGTTAATATTGATCTTCTGGTTTGCCCAACATATTTCTGATTACAATCTTTACAAGAAACTTCATAAATACCCGACCTTTCCATTGGAGGTGTTTTATCCTTTGGATTACCTAATAATTGTTATAATTTATTATTAGCACTATACACAAGTTTATATTTGACATTCTTAAAAATTCCTTTTAGACCACGGGATAACTCTCTATCAAACGGCATCGAAAAATATTTAGACGTATCTTTCTCCACTTGAAAAGTCGAATTTTCAGAAATCATTAACCTATACCTACGTTTTCTAATTAATTTATCAACTAGTGAAGGAGAATATCCATTACACTCAGCTACATTCCTAATGTAATCTCTTTCTATTTCATATCTTTCGTTGGAAAGTGGGAAACTAAGTAATCTATGAACTAAGAAATTTAAACTAGGCATTTTATGTTCAACACTATGATGTGATTCATAAGGAATATATCTACGTGTGGTCGTATTTTTCCTATAGATATCAAATTCCAGGCAATTATTAGTATTTCTAATAACTAATACATCTAGAAATGGTAATCTGTCGTTCTCAATTTCATGCGTAAATTTAATGGAATGAAAACGATTATTTAACTTAGAAATAAAATTATCTATGGTGTCTGAATGTGTGTCAAAAACATCAAAAATATCATCCACATACCTAAACCATACTCTTGGAAAATACTCAAACTGATTTTTAGCCTCCACTTCAAACCTGCTCATGAATAAATTAGCCAAAAATGGAGAAATGGGAAAAATTTATTTAAGCATAATATTTATTTTATTTTACCTAACCAATTCAAAGTTTTAATGCCCTGATATTGTTCTTCTGCTCGGAATGCCGGGAAACTATATAATATCGTATAATATAATTAAAACTCCTGCGTAATTTTAATGTAAAATAAACAAGGACTGGTATGTTGTTATTATACAGTTAAAATATTATTTTTGGAGCTTATTTTAGATGGACAGAAAACAAAAATTTTTGCTTTATGCGATAGAAAATGACACTCTGAATAGAATGATATATCATATGTCAACTTTTGACATTCTCGCATATTTATGGTTTATTTGAAATTGTAACGACGCACAATTTGTAACAATTTGACTAGAAATACCAATTCCAAGTGTGTGGTATCAAATTATTCGTAAAAAAATGCTTTTTCCAAATATACTAATGGGCCATCCTTGTTCCAGTTGAAAAAATTGAGACAAGACACGAAAAATATTAGACGATCTAATCTAGTTTCCATGGCTCCTTGTTTAAATTAGTGTTTTTAACAAAGCCACTCTAGATTGAAATTTAAAATACGATTTTTTTAAGCGAAAATGTCAAAAGTTGACATATGATATGCCATTTTACTCAGAATGTCATTTTCTATCGAATAAAGTAGAAATATACCGATGGTGAAATTTAAAAAAACAAATGTTTTAGGGGGGCGCCAGATAGGGTACTCGCCCGGTCTCAATATTTCCCTTCCGCCGGCCCTGGACAAAGCTCACCCACAATCATCACCCATCAATTTCATCACCCAGAATGTGAAGTGGAAACTAAATAAACTTAACATTTTCGATTTAGTATCTATTTTTTATCAACTAATGATGCTAATGATCATCGAATCATAGATACATCCCGAGTGACAAACAACTTCCTATTTTAGCACCATAAATGTTACCACCAATCATTCATTTTGTCCTTTACTCCTACGTGGAGCATAGGGCTTCAATAAACGCTCTTCAGCAGGTTTGGTTGTTGGCAATTGATTTTCTTACCATCAATAGTAAATATATATTTTACCAAAAAACTTTAACTATGTAACTTCAAATATTGTAATATTATTTGTGAAAATAATTTTGAGATTATCATTCTAAACTATTTATGGATTGGAATTGTATATTAATGTAATATATGATTTCAGTAATAGAAAAAATCTTGTGAAAAATTGTAACTGTCCAATGACATGCCACGTTAATATCTACACACCAAGTATTATCAGCCGAAAGGAGGTAGAAGAAAGATTGTATCCTTACAGCTTCATAGCAATATATTACACGACAAATTTGGTTACCTACATGCACGAAACAATTGGATACAGCTTTAATGCTTTCATAGCAGACATAGGAGGGTCTCTAGGATTTCTGTTAGGTAAACCTAATTTACTAACGAATTCACTCTTCTTGTATGAAGCGATACTACATTTTAATATGTTATTGATTATTTTTCATATGAACATAGATCCTATTCTGCTTTGTTTCGTAGTTACACGGTGTCAAAGTCTTAATATTTTTTGATTTATTATAATTTTCTTTCAAGTACTTTTAGCATTTCGAATTAACTTTTGAGGGTAAAAGTTACTATAAATGTTTGTTTTTGAAAAATATTCCAGTGGTAACCCATATGCACTTCCCTGATCAGAAGAATAACACAGTTTCAATAAAACATCCAGAATTTTGCCTGTAATCAGAATCCAAATATTTTGAAATATTTAGTAATCTGACTTGATTTAACTATATTTGTTTATTATATACCGTATGATTCAAAAAATATCTGCGTTCTGTTGGCTTGGAAATGACAATTGATGATATTTCTCATATACTTTACATATAAAATGACGGCGATTTTCATTTCCAATCCTTCCCTGACGCCATTTAAAAAAATGTTTAGTATAGAGACCAAATATCTTTGATAGAGACTTAGTTTGTCATTTTTAATTTTACACTTACAAATTTTGCAACTTTATTCAATGATGAACAAAATTCTAATTTTCTTAGTTTCCTTCATATCTTTTCATTACATATTTTTTAATTTTTAGGGCTGTCAGTTATTGGTTTCATAGCAGTTTTAGAGAAAACTTTACGTTCCTTAATAAAAACATATTTTAACAATAAACAGAAACTGGCAGAAGAGGAACAGAGTCAGGTGGAAAATGGCATAAATAATCAAAAGATTCCGAACAGAAATAATAAATCGCAAACCAACAACACACACTCTAGGAGAAATAATATTGACCTGTATGACAATTTACGCGATTTCGATAGTGATGATTTCAAATATTATCAAAAAACATTAATTGTGGATGGTCGGTACTGAATAATATCGTATCGTATCGCTTTGTATAATGAGAGAAAAAATAAACTAATAAAAATTTGCAACTGTCAAATTCAAAACACATTTGATCAAACAACTTTTTAATGATACTGTATTCTCGCTTGTAATAGAGCAGCCCCTAAGTTGTAATATTTATAAATATAAATATAACATTGTAACCTTTGTCCACAAAAAAGGGAAATAGTAAATAAGTAAGTCAGTTTTGCTATGTAATATTTACGTATACGCCAAGGGCATTAGTAAGACGATAATGCTCGAAGAGTGACACGATGGGCATTATCGTATATTAACTAGAGATGGGCGGTTATTGGTAAAAAACCGGTTATAGGTTAACCGGAATTATCTTTAAAAAATAATAACTTGACAAAATTAACCGACACAAATTAACCGGTTATTCAAATAACCTAACCTAGCAAAACTAAACATTTAGTAGTAGACATGGATATGATATTAAAACTAGTAATTACTTAACGTTCAAATAAACCACACAACGCACAAGTTCTACAATCTACAACCAAGTTATTTTAATCAAATACGGAGAAAAATAGACCACAAGAAAAATAGACCAAAAGAAAAATAAGGAGACTGAATAAATAAATAATGAAAGATTATGTTCATTCATTACTTGAACTTCTATGTTGAACTTTTTTTGTATTCTTAATCTAAGCTTCAAGAGAGACTTCAAACTAATAGAGCTAATAAACCTGATATGATGAAACAAAATATAACAAATAAAAGTAAAATCGATGCACAAGAAACGTCTTAAATAAGTGCAAATATTTTTACGGGAAATTTTTTTTTTCGCGAAAATTGAAATTGAAAATTTGGAATTTTTTGAAAGAATTTTTGAATTTTTTTTAGATTTTATTTAAAAAAACAAAATTTCTTGATAATATGACAACAGGTAGTAGATAGACAATGACAATAGGTAGTAGATTAAATTTAAAAAAAGAAAACCCAGAAAAGATCCAGTGGTTCTCAAAATTTAAGCAAAAATAACTTTTTTTGTAAACTTTCAAAGTAAAATAACTCGGTAATTTTGGACTTATTTGAAAAACGGTAAAGAGAAGATATGTTTCTTTTATCGAGATCTACCAGCCCTGAAAATATTTGCACTTATTTAAGACTCACCCTGTATATTGTATCTTTGTCACAATCCACAACACAAAATGAACGTATTTATACACTCTATAGCTCTAAAAACTTTAAATACACCTTTTTCACATTTAAAATTGACAAAATAATTAACTCAAAATTTCTCAGCTGTTATTTTTATAAGTTTACCATAGGCAACTAATAATACACACTATCATGACAAGGCCACGAAGGCTTTGACAAGGGCTACAATGAATTCACAACTGTCAGCTGAAGCGAGGGAAGAGGCGAACGTACGTCTTATGAGGATGAGCAATCCTATTAGTTTACCGTTTTTGGGTTTAATATGTTTAGATGCTTTGGTTTTTGAGATATTTAAAGACATTTAAATATGCATGGTCTAATAAAAAAGTTTGTCAACACTCTGTACATTACTTTTCAGAGTTTATTCTTGTGGTGACTTTGAAGCCAGAGAAATTAACTTTACTAAAACAATGTATTGCTTTCTTATACATTTAATTTACAGATGTATCAAAAATTACTGGTCTATTTTAAATATTTATTTTACATAAAAACTTCGTTGTTTCTATGTATGACGCAATTTTTGATACCCCTGTAAACATTTAAGGAAGCAATCAAATTGTTTAGTAAGGTTTATTTCTCTGGCTTGAAAGTCAGCACAAGAATTAATTCTGAAAAGTAATGTACGAGGTGTTGACAAATTTTTTTATCATAGCATGCATATTTAAATAACTTTTAATATCTCAAAAACCAAAGCATTTAAGCATATTAATCCTTATAATAAATGCCTTATTTTATGTTCAAAAATCCAAAAATGAAATAAAATACCTGGTGTTCCATAAGAAAAAAAGTATATCTTTGGTATGGATCTTAGTTCTGACACATCTTGTACCTTTCTAAATAATTTTAAATTATGTACATTCCCTTCCCACATATACCTGTCTTTGTTACAGAGACGCCAAGACACACGGAAATCAAACAAACAATTTTTCAGAAATGTCAGACTAATATTTTTATAAAATAGGCGTTTTCTTAACATTTCACGCTGGTTCTAAAAAGACGATCAAATATTAAATAGGATAATTCTGTGGTCATTTCTAAAAATCAAAGATTTTAATAATGGAGTTTATAACATGTTAGTGTAATCTGCATGCTGGAAAGAATATGGCAGAACGTACCACGTTTTAGACACGGTTGGAAAAACGCACCAGCGTTTAGTCTCAACCAATGAGAGCAGGAAAAATCACATTATGGACTATATAATGGTACATTTTGCTTAAACGCGGCCCGTATAGCCAACAATAGACAACAATGGGCCCAACTACAAAGAGTGTATCTAAATATGTGAGAGAAGCTACACCATAATTGGAAATTGTTGAATAAGCTGAAAATTATGATGATGATGATGAATATACTAAATAAGATATTTTTTCTAAGTAGTTACTTAAAAAAATGTATTGTTTATTTTTTAATTCCATTTTCATTTCTTTTCCTAATACTTTTTAATAATCCCTTGAATATATTTAATATAAATTGGATGAATTTAAAATTATTATTAATCTAAAACTAGTTCTCCATTGCTCTTTAATTTCAATCTGCATTATACAATGGAAATGAAAATTTTTATTGCTCAACTAGCTTTGTGGGAATTTTCTTAACCCAGAAAAATAGTCTTTTCTATGGCTAAACCTGTGTGAGTCAGTTTTGTAGTCGACTGTCGGTTACACCAGATAATAATATGCAACTTGGCAAGGAACTTGTGTTCTAATAACACGAAAGTTATGTAGATTGTACAGGACTGGACTTCAGGTTATCTTAAAATGCCAATTGTCTTCCTCATTGACAGGAACATTGCTAATAAATATGAAAATAAACAAAACCATGATTATGTAATCTTATATGTCTAAATAAAAAAAATATAAAAAAAAATTATACTTTATGTCTATTTGATATCAATTAAACTTTTAGCTACGTAATCGAGGGCGCGATTTTTAAATTCATTGTTGCCAACGATGGACATATTCGGCGCCGCCGCCTGGAACTGGAATTTAAATTTCCCGCTGGTCATTCAGGTGGTAGCTCTGCTGTAAAAAAGTGCCACATTTATTTATTTATTTCCTGACATTATCATTCGTTTTGACATGTTAGTTTTGTATTACGAGTTTTTGGTTTAAATGAATTATGTTGTGATACATTAAGCTTAAATTTTTTTACTAGCACACCTTGCAGTCGAACATTGTTCTTTTTAGAACCTCTTTTAGTGCGAAGTGTACAAGATAGCTTAATAGCCGTAAAAAACTAATTGCAACTTTATTAGAATATTTTGAACGGGAAAGCGTAGTAATGGCCCTTTATGTCCCTAAGTGCTGTGTACTGTGTGAATTTTGTTGATGTAAATAATAACTGTTTATATATTTATAATTAATTTATTTTTGTTTAAAAGGAAATATTTAAAAGTGGGCAACGCTGTGCCGGCCAAGCTTAATCACGTGACTAAAAATTTATTTGATATGAACTATATCGATACACAGTTTTTAAAGCGTTTTTATGAACTATTTATATGTACACAATTTTTGTTACATTGTTGCTCCTCTATCTACTTCTAAATGCACCATCAACATTTTTTTTAATCTTGATATACAGAAGTCTTTTTGTTACACCAATTCAAAAGTGTCCACATTTATACATGGTTTTAGAAATAAGTTTTTCTGACCCAATATAGTTACAGAATTTTTACCCAATTACATGTTGTATTGGTTGATCTACATTTAATATTCACTTAGGAGATTTTTTCAAATTTTCTATAACGCATGCTAGAAGTACTGCATACACCATATACCGGCTTCTCCAACAATGTATCGGCATGTATAGGTTCTATACTATAAAGAACACTAAACCAAATATTTTAAAAAACATAATATGATACAAGTTTCTAAAGTTAAACCATTGTTTTATTTACTTTTCCTGTAATATGTCCGTATCTGTATACAGACCGGACCACCATAGTAGTAACATAGGCAGAACCGGACGAATTAGCGTATACCCGTCCGCCGGATAAAAAGCAGGCAAAAAAATGCGATAAAATAAAAATAGGTCGATATGTGATAAGAATGTTTCAAAATTTGTATTTATTCGTGTTTTAATAGCCAAAACGAAAACGTAGATTCTCGCGACAGTTCTCGTGTAAAATTTATTTTTTAAGTAAAATAATGGATGTTTATGAAGTTCGTGAGAAAATTTAAATTGTAAAATGGTATTTCCAAAATAGATCTTATCGGGATATACAAACAATTTTTCCACAAACTTATGTAAACAGGCCAATTCCATCTTTATCTATATCATATCAAGAGTTATTAATAATCTTGAAACCAAAATTCCATCTTTATCTTTATCATATCAAGAGTTATTAATAATTTTGAAACACATGGGTGCGTGTCCCCACAAAAACACAAAAAGCCTGATGTGTTGATTAATGAAGAACAGGAGTTAAAGTAAGTGTTCGTTTGTGCTACCGCGGATCAAAATCCCACGTTTTCAAATAATCAAATTGCTGAGGTGGTTGCCCCGCCCACAATGCCCGTATTGTTCAAGAATATTTGAACAATACTTTTCCCAACCGTTTAATTAGTGGATATGGAACTATTTTGTGGCCCGCTAGATCACCAGATCTTTCTCCCAATGATTTCTTTTTGTGGGGTTATGTAAAATCCAAAGTGTATGGCCATAATAGGGCTAATAATCTGGATGAGCTTCAAGTAAAAATACGAGAAGCTTTCCAAACTATTAGCCCTAATATGTTAGCCAATATCAGACGGGGATTTTACGACCGCCTAGGCTTCTGTCTAGCACAAGAAGGTGGTCTTTTTGAACACTTGTTATAACTTTTTTTTATTTAGAGTAATATTATAGTTTTTTTTGGGTTTAGAGAATTTATTTATTTTTAGTTTTGGCTTGTAAACACACTGAAATAATAAATATTTAAGTATTTTTATTTTAAATGTTACCTTAAGTGAAGGTAAACACTTAAAATAAAAATAATAAATACTCGGCACTCGCGTCATATTCTTAGTCTGTCACGACCGACCCGTCCAAGCACAACTGCAACTCCGTACTGCCTGACCAGCCGACTAGCGGGCAGTGACTCTCGAGTACGAACGCAAAACGGGTAAACGTAAATTCGTCCGGCAACTTGCTATGTTACTAGTAGCCTGATCTTCTAGTATATCTACTTGGGAATCAGAACAGTTGTTTTGGT